CCCGTGAAGTGCAGCAGAATTTCTTTGGAATTTGTCTGTCACAAGGCACTTATGAGTTGAAGCAAATAGGATCATATATTATCCACAATGTTTATTTCTGTCAGAGGGAAATGACTGGCAAAGAAGCTATTGGATTTGCAGCAAAACCTGCCTTTCTGTGACTGAGAACCATGGGGTATGCGTGTGTGTGTGTGTGTATGAGTGTGTGTGTGTATGAGTGTATGTGTGAGTGTGTGTGTGTATATATAGATGTCCTTGCACACAGGAGCCGTCTTACCTCTGACATTGACCTTAGCCACTCAGAACCATCAGCCACCAGATTGTTTCAGGCAGGAGGCTTAAACCCAAACCAAATTTGTTTGCCACAAATTAAATGCCATCCTAAGAACAGTGATGGTCATGCAGTGATTGTTGTGGAAAACAAAAATGAGAATAAGTTGCTTTTTCACTTGCCTTTGATTATACCACCTTAAGATAACCAGCTGCTGACAGTGTCGTATTTCTTTCTAGCCTGTTTTATGTGTGGGTGATGGTTGGGCTTTTCTACACAGCTGTCATATGGTGGCTTCTATTTTATGTACATTTCCCTTTAATTTTGAGATTTGTCTGATCTTCTGTCCTAAATTTGATCAAAACTACTTAACTTTAAAAAAAATTAATTCAGCAAAAATGTATGGGCTGTTGTGTTTGTGCCAAGAACACCACTACATCACGTGACACACATAGCTTGGGCAGGTGGAGAGAAAGCGCATTAACCAGCAGGGATCATGGGACACGGCAGAGAGGATGGAGGTAAGAGTGACCTGGCTGCATTCAGGGCTGGGCTTTCCACTCTCCGCATGACCTCAGGCAAGCTTCGTGTCTTTTTTGAGCCTCAGCTTCCTCGTCTGTAAAATGGAAATAATATTAGCCACTTCACGGAACGTCATGAGGATGAAATGAAGCATTCCACTTCCTATGCCTGGCAGATGGTCACCATTTCTTCAGGGCTTACCATGTGAAGGCAATCTTGTCGTCTTAGCAGAATCCTCTCCTCCTTCCTTTCAAAGACACTTTGTCCTTCCCGAGAGAGACTGGGAGTTTTGTTGTTGTTTGTTTTGACTGAGTATTTTGGTAAATGATAAGGCCTCCTTGGAAACACTTGATAGTTCAGAGTCACAGAGAGGATTTTAAAGGCCATGGTGGGAAAAAGAGCTGGGAGAGAGAATGGGGCACCTGGCCCAGAAGGAGCTTTGGGGAAAGAAGGGAGATGTTCAGAGGGTTTTCTGTTGTATAGTTTTGCCATGTGCTGTGTGGAATCACCTCTGCTCTCTGCCTCCCAGGGCTGGTGATAAAATCTACCTCACATGGACTGCATGGCAGTAGCAGGTCAGTTTGGGGGAAAGGGCCAGAAGCATGAAGACCACTTGGAGCAGCCAGGGGAATGGGACCACCCCAGTCAGCCAGGACACAACCAGATCATGTCATGGGCCACTAGCTGCCTCTCCTGGGCCCCTCCACTGCATCACCCTGCAGGATCCTGGCACGAAGCCTTGCCTGTCCCTTCCCCCATCCTCCACCTCATCACCCCCCTCCCCGGCTCTTCCCCGCCCTGACCTCCCTGGCTGTGCTCCACTCCCTGCAGTCCCACCTTTGTTTGGCAAGTCCTGGCTCTCCCTGTCCAGCTCAAGGCAAACTCCTGTTCATCCTTTAGGATCCAACCTGAGCAGCTTGTCCCCTGAGAGGGGCCCCCAGCAGCTCAGCATGCCTCTTTTGGGCTGTCTGTAGCTTGATTTAGCTCTTGTTAGGTTTTTTCCTTTTGTTCTTTTGTTCTAATTTTCCTTTATTTTTATTTTAGACTGGACTGCAGTGGTGCAGTCTCGGCCCACTGCAACCTCCACCTCCTGGGTTCAAGCAATTCTCGTTTCTCAGCTTCCCGAGTAGCTGGTACTACAGGCATGTGCCACCACACCCAGCTAATTTTTGTATTTTTAGTAGAGACGGGGTTTCACCACATTGGCCAGGCTGGTCTCAAACTCCTGACCTCAAGTGATCTGCCCACCTCGGCCTCCCAGAGTGCTGGGATTACAAACGTGAGCCACTGTGCCTGGCCTAACTTTCCTTTTATAACACAAATGATAAGGAAACACATCAAGTCATGCTCAAACTAAAAATTCTCATCCATGCATTAAGCAGTGATCAAACTAAAAATTCCCATTTGTGCATCATAATGAGAGGTAAAGTTGTTGGTCTGTGATGGTGCTTTTTCTCTTTCGATCCTGATAGCAGTTGTGGGGCGGGTAGTTACCATAATTATTCCCACCTCACAGGTGAGGAAACTGAGGTTCAAAGAGGTAAAGTGTCAAAACAAAGTTCTCCCGTACTCCACCGCTAGGCTTCTCATTCCTGCTATACCCAGCTGACCCCCTAGGAGAGAGTGAACCCAGGGACATAGAGGGGTGGCTGTTGTCAGCCTGAGAGGATGGGCACCCTGCATGCTTCTGGTGGGCTCGCTGAGTGGGAGCTGCCACCCTTTCCCATCTGGTCCCCGCCCACCTTCGGGATCATCTGAAGGTGGTTTGAGCCGTGTCTCTGACTTGCTCTGTGGCCTTGGGGAAACAGCTTAACAACTCTGTGCCTTAACTTCCTCATGAAAGGAAAGGGCTAGACTTGGAATCTGGTGCAGAGAGAAGTGTTTCTATCCTCCGGAATCTTCCCCTCATGGAGAGTTGAGAAAGGTCAAGATCATCTTGACACGCTTTTCTTCCTGTCAAGAGCTTGCCACAGATTTCCTCATTGTTCACAAATTCTAAGAAGGCAGAGGGTCAATGATAGGAAAGAAACAAAAATGGACCTCTCTGTGGAAATTCAAGGCCTGGTCCTAGTTTGCCTCTTTCCATGGTTCTGTGGCCACAGCCCCATTCTAGAAGGAGCCAGAAGCCAGGCCCTTTCCGCTGTGCTCGCTGAAGTGGAGTGATTGCTGGTGGGTTATAAAGTTGGGCGATGCGCCTGGGACGCAGAGGAGCTTTTATTCCCCACCCCCACCCCCAGAACCACTGACTGGCAGTTCTCAAAGGGCCAGAAATTAGTGGATAGAGAGATGTTATGACAGTGTTAACATCTCTGGAAAAAACAAATGCCAAAAAGATTTAGTTGACTTTCCTCTTGCCATTCAATAATCCAGAATCGTTCAGGGTTACACATTTAGCATTAACATGGGATACAGAATCCACAAATTAAATTTTCACTGCAATCAAATTTTTTGAGGAAACCCAAATTTGTGGGGCGTTTTGGGGCATGAGAGAGACTACTACCCAACTCAAGCCTTTATGCCGTCCCTCACCCAGGTCATCTCCTTGGTATGACTTAGCCTCTTTCTGGGAGCTGGAAGGAATTCAGAAAAGCAAGATATATTGTTATGGCTTATTTCATCAACCTGTGTGTGCAGGAGTTACTTAGAATCCAGACAATCAGCTCTTCAATGCTATCCTCCACTATTTTGTCAAGGTTCTAAATGAAGCGTCATCTGGTACTCAAGGGACTGTATTTCAAGAGTTCCGAGAAGTGCCACCTTTCCCCCTTTTGTAGAATAACAGGAAAAGACGTGTTCCAAGCACAAATAATCCATTCAGTTCGCTGAGCTTGGATCAGGCGAAATATTTGTTTCTCCAAGTGTATTTTTCAAGAGCCATGTCAGATGAGCAGATAAGGAGTTTGAAGACCTCTTACCCTAGGCGGGAACTGTTCTAGTAGCCCTAACAGGTCTTCTGTCACTGCAGGTCCTGCATGCTTCTTTAGGAGGAATGATAACAGGGCTCAAAGTCACACACTTGCCTGTTCCCTCTTTCCTTTCCCACTTACCTTCCCCACCCCCATGTCATCTTTTATCTTTTAAATGCTGTTAGTTTTGGCAGGAAGAACTGTTGAATTTTCACTGGAGGAAAGGTGATTCCCTTGCCTGTTAATGATAGATCTCTGCTCTATTGGTGTCATTGTATTAGGTTGGCACAAAAGTAATTGCAGTTTTTGAATTGCTTTTAATGGCAAAAACCGCAATTACTTTTGTGCCAACCTAGTATGTGCACCTTTCTGTAAGAAAAGGCTTAGCTTAGTGTCTTTCTGCTAATGTCACCCTCAGGGGCAGGGGTGGCCTCTGCCTCACCTGACTCAGAACTTGATCCCTCCTACCCATGTTGAGGGTGGGGCCCAGCTTTTGAGCTTGTCATTAAAAGCTTGAGGGCACAATTGTTGGGGATGACTGTAGTTTCCTTCGGGTATAGTCTCTCTTTCTCTAGGCCTGGGTTTCCCCAAGCGTAGAAGGTGCCTAATACGGGAGTGGCCTCAGGTGGCCCTCAGACCTGGCACACAGTGGCAGTGAATTGTGCTATGGGACGGTTACCCCTTTTTCTACTCCCTTCCCTTTCCTCTGCTGTGTCTGGGAGAATGTCACCATTTGGGGCTAGCTTCTCTCCAACACTATTAAGTACCTGCCAACCTCCCTTTTTAACAAAGATCAGGCCTTGGGCCACCATGAGTAGGCAGTCACCAGTCATTGGCTAGAATGTAAAAACATTTTTTGATTTTTTAAAAATTATTACTGGCAATTATTACATCAATCCTGATTTCCTATTTATAAGTAGTGACAGAAAATGTATGTTTTAATACGTTTATGTAAGTTCAGTTTATGGAGAGCTCTGCAATAAGTTGTGGCACCGACAGCAACCAGTCATGACAGCAGGTGCCAAGAGGGGACAGGCACGGTGGCTCACACCGGTAATCCCAGCACTTTGGGAGGCCCAGCACTTGGGGAAGCCCAGGAGTTCAAGTCCAGCCTGGGAAACATGACAAAACCCTGTCTCTACTAAAAACTAAAAAAAAAAAAGAAAAGAAAAAGGAAAAGAAATCACCAAGAGGGAACATATGTGGCTGAAGTTGAGGAAACCCCACTCTGCAGGGCCTTTCAGGATGAGGAGGTCACGTAGTCAGGAGGCCTCCGCTTACATCCTTCTCCTCTGTTCCAGGCATAGATCCTGAAAAATTAGAGCGAATCCAGCTCCCGGTGCCAAATGCAGTCGAGAAGACCACCTACAACCATCCGCTGGCTGAAAGACTCATCAGGATCATGAACAACGCTGCCCAGCCAGGTGCCCACTTGGGGTGTTGTCTGTCCACAGGGCCACGCAGTCATGGGGAGCAGGCCCCACTGGAAGCCTGAGCCCTGGGTGCTAGGCCTGAGCCTTCTGAGAATCTGGGTCCATCCCAGCCTCTCCCTCGGCCTCTCAACCCCTGCATCCTGGGCCAGCCCTCCTGCCTGCTGGAACTGTGTCTTTAGCTCTGGGTCTCCTTTTGCCATGCCACCCCCTGCCACTTGCTAACCATCTTTCTTCTCCTTCCACACCCTGCCTCCCTTTGCTGAGATTATCAATGTTTGTCACCCCCCGAATCTCTGGGTGGCCCAAGGTGATATTATGAGAAAGAACTAGGCTGAGAGTGGAGTGAGGGGAGAAGGTTCGAAGGTTTAAGGGGCCAGTAGAATAGGAGACAGAGTTTTGTTACCAGCAGCAGTTGTGGGTAGGTATGGGAACAGGTAGGAGTGAGAATGCATTTGGAGGAAAACTCACTTGGAGGAGGCAGCTGAAGAGAGGTTACACTAGTGCTGGGGCTGGGTAGGGACGGGCCAGGAGAGCCGATGGAGCTGAGACCACCCAGCCTTCTCCTTGGTTGCCCCTGGGGCATGTATCATGTTTGAGAAGACCTATTTTTCGTGATAGTGCTTTTTCTCTTTTCTTTTCTTTTCTTTTCTTTTCTTTTCTTTTTTTTTGAGATGGAGTCTCGCATGGTCACCTGGGCTGGAGTGTAATGGCGTGATCTCGGCTCACCGCAACGTCCGCCTCCCAGGTTTACGGGATTCTCCTGCCTCAGCCTCCCGAGTAGCTGGGATTACGGGTGCATACCACCACACCCAGCTAATTTTTTGTATTTTTGTTTGAGACGGGGTTTCACTATGTTGGCCAGACTGGTCTCGAACTCTTGACCTGGTGATCCATCCACCTTGGCCTCCCAAGGTACTAGGGATTATAGGCATGAGCTGCCGCGCCAGGCCTACTTTTTCACTTTTTAGGCAGAGCCCCTTTTCTCACCTATTTTCACCTGACTTACAAGGCATTAACAAAGGGACAGGCAGGGAGGTGGGCAGAGGGGTGTGTCTGCCTTTAGTTTTTTCCCAGTGACCTATTGTGGTCTCTGATGTTTCCAAGACCTTAGAGGCATAGCCTGAAGACCTTCTCCTCTCCACAGTGGGATCTTTCCCCAGAAATAAGCTTGAAAGACCCATAGAGGAGTTTGCATAAGAGCAGTTGTCCTTCAGTCAGTCAGTTACAGATGCTTCTAGGAGAGATGCCAGACGTGAGTTTTGGCATTCTGAGCACCTGCAGTCTACCACTGCCCAGCGATGAGACCGTGGACAAGTCCCTTCCCTTTCCTAAGCCTCAGTCTTTCGAGCACTCATTGCAATCAGTTTTCATACAGATTCCTTGAGGAGCTATATAAAGTGCTCGGCACTGTGCCTGGCTCACGGTAGTAAGTAAGTAATAGCATAATAAGTAAGCTGTGTTAGAGCTCTGTTGCACTTGTCAGAAACCCGACTCACTCTGGCTTAAACAATACAAACAGACAAAGCTGTGTTGGGTTATAAAGTCTGCTGAGGCCTGGCTTCAGGCAAAGCTGGATCCAGGGGCTCAAACAGTATTTTTCTACCTTTGGCCTCTGCCACCTTCTGGGTTGATGAGTTAAATGTCAGCCCCTCCAGCTAGCCCTTTCTCCACTGAGACACTAGACTTACTCTATGGGAGACACTTAGATTTGAGCAGTCTAGTTGGAAGAGAGATCTCGAAGTGATATTTGCAGAATACTTTACAAATATTAAAAATGCTGGCAAGGGTGAAGAGATGGCTGATGCCCTCAGGGCCTCACCACGGTCCTCTGCTCAACCCAGCACAAGGAGAATTTCTCTTACCCAGCAGTTCTAGCAAATTGTGAGGTTGAGCCTTACTGGCTCTGACTGGCTCCCTTGCCTGGTTCTTACCTAGTCACTGGGACCAAGGGAATGTAGAGCACCCCAACTGGCTGGGTGATGTGCCCAACCCTGGAAGGGGAAAGGAGGACCAGCTCCACCCAAATCACATGACCCAAAGTGGGACTGGCGGCTCTCTAAAGGAAAGTGGGAGTGCAGGGCCACTCTCTAGGCCTCAACAGTGTTTAGTCACCCTCTTTTTCCTGCACCCTGCCAGTAAAGGGACTTCAGGGAAGTATTTGGTGTAGGTAGTTTTGATGGAGAACATTGAATTCTAACTGATTGGGAATGGCTTTGGCATGGGGGTTCCCTCTGTGTCCCCACTGGATGTTGGGAGCCATGAGCAGTTGGTCTATCATCTGACCTGCTAACCTCAACGTGGGTAGGCAGGAGCCTTGGGCTTAAGGGCGCCGCTCCCTGGGTGTGCAAGGCTCACCCTGGTTTGCTCTGCAGATGGGAAGATCCGGCTGGCGACGCTGGAGCTGAGCTGCCTACTTCTGAAGCAGCAAGTCCTGACGAGTGCCGGCTGCATCATGAAGGACGTGCACCTGGCCTGCCTGGAGGTGACGCCCTCTCCCCTCCTCCTTTCTGGGGGCCAAGGGAGAGGGACAGGAGGATGGAAGGGAAGGTGCTGGCATCCAGATAGGAGCCCTGGCCTGCGGTGTCATCGGTCACCAGCTAGAAGCAGCAGGGGCTGCTCTCTTGAGACCCCACTCCAACCTACTTATTCAGCAGGGACTTCCTTTCGGCTGAGACTCGCTGAAGAGTCCACTTAATTGAGTTTTAGTGGTTCCTGCTGCACTTATTTGGTTCTGTATTTGTCCTCAGGATTTCTGAATTTTTTCTTTGGTGTTACAAAAGTTTTAAGCACATACAAACACACTAACACATATACATACATTGATTATGGTTTTTGTGCTTAAAATATACATTAAATTTTCAGTAGCGTTTATGGTACCTCCTCTTATTTTCTATGTTTATTTTAGAAAATTTAGGAAGTACAAAGAGGTAAAAGTAACAACTATAGTTGACACTTTGGCTGTGTCTATGTAGACACACACACACATATTATATATATAAATATATTTAAGTATTATATAAGCAAATAATTACATAAAGGAATATATTTACATATGCAATATGTAAATATACACTATGTATATATTTACATATATAATATATAAATATGTAAACACATGAATATATGTAAATGAAATATCTATTTACATATATGTAAATGAAAATTCATTTATAAGTATGTATATGTTTGTATACACACACACATACACACACCCCCCCTTATAAATGAACTTTTTGTCTTATACAAATGTAGCTGGGCTAGGTGCAGTGGCTCATGCATGTAATTCCAACATTTTGGAAAGCTGAGATGAGAGGATCACTCGAGGCCAAGAATTTGAGACTAGCTTGGACATAAGTGAGACCCTGTCTCTACAAAAACAAAAACAGTTAGCCAGGACATGCTTGTAGCCCCAGCTACTCAGGTGGCTGAGTCTGGGAGATTGCTTGAACCCAGGATTTTGACACTGCAGTGAGTATGATTGTACCACTGCACTCCAGTCTGGGCCACAGTTTGAGACTGTATTGAAAGAGTAAAATAAAAAAGGAGTCATAATGGCCATATTTGTAACCGTTTTCCCCTGATTAACTGTATATTAACAGCTTCTCATGTCATTACAATCAAATTACCTATCCTTTCGCATTTTCATTTTGAGCTCTGTCTCCTTTCCTCTCTCTCTCTCATTAAGAACTATTTTATAGGCCAGGCATGGTAGCTCATGCCTCTAGTCCCGGCACTTTGGGAAGCCGAGGCGGGCAGATCACCTGAGGTCAGGAGTTAGAGACCAGCCTGGCCAATGTGGTGAAACCCCGTCTCTACTAAAAATACTAAAATTAGCCAGGCGTGGTGGCAGGCACCTGTAATCCCAGCTACTCAGGAGGTTGAGGCAGGAGAATCGCTTGAACCTGGGAGTCGGAGATTGCACTGAGCCAGGATCATGCCACTGCACTCCAGCCTGGGCAACAGAGTGAGACTTCATCTCAACAAAAGGAAAAAAAAACAAAAGAAAACATTTTATGCATTAAGGTTATTAGTCCAGATCCGTTTTATACGTACTCATGTTTTAGAATTTGTAGTTTGCCTGACTTGCTCGCCTAGATGAGACCTGCCTCCTTCACACCTTCCTTGTCTTTTAACAGGGTGCGAGAGAAGAAAGTGTTCACCTTGTACGACATTTTTATAAGGTAATTGGCAGAGCACAGATGGACAGCAGCATGGTGTGTCTTGTAGAAGCAGGAGTGTCTTGTAGAAGCAGCAGAAGTGGTGTCTGGTTCTATGCAGATAAATGTTATATGTCTTCAGTTATTTTTTATGCCTATAATTACTGAATAAAAATGCTCAATTTCATAGTCCCTAGAGCAGCAATACCTAAACTTTTTTCTGCCCATGCTGTCTTATCAGTAAAATTTTTGAGGACTCAGCCCCAGTATATGACAATTTGTTTCTCAGTAATACATGGATTTGGTTGTTTGGGAATAATTATATGTAAATTATGAACTACATACATATAAACACACATAAGTAAATTATATATATATGATGTGCTTATGTTCGTGAGTTACATATGGTTACATATATAAAATTACTTATGAATTACCTATGAATTTATGAACTATATACATGTATATTATTTTTATACATATGTACTAAGAAACCTTATAGAGGCTTCTAAACCTTTATTAAGTTTATTGAGATTTTGTAAAGTGCCACAGTGACCTTCAGTATCTGAAAAATTTGCAGAGCTTTGTCTTCAGGTTCCAGATGGTTTTATAAATATCTAATTGCAGCCGGGCATGGTGGCTTATGCCTGTAATCCCAGCACTTTTGGAGGCCAAGGCGGGTGGATCACCTGAGGTCGGGAGTTCGAGACCAGCCTGGCCAACATGGAGAAACCTCGTCTCTACTAAAAATACAAAATTAATCAGGCATGGTGGCACATGCTTGTAATCCCAGGTACTTGGGAGGCTGAGGCAGGAGAATTGCTTGAACCCGGGAGGCAGAGATTGCTGTGAGCCAAGATAGCGCCATTGCCCTCCATCCTGGGCAACAAGAGTGAAAACTCCATTTCAAAAAAAAAAAAATTCTAATTGCCATGGTTTTGTTTTAGCTTTTAAGCATTTGATTTTAGTCCATTCGGGATGCTAAAACACCATAAACTGGGTAGCTTATAAACAATAGAAATTTACTTCTGGGCTGGGCACAGTGGCTCACGCCTGTAATCAATCCCAGGACTTTGGGAGGCCAAGGCAGGCAGATCATGAGGTCAGGAGATTGAGACCATTTTGGCTAATATGGTGAAACTCTGTCTCTACTGAAAAATACAAAAAAAATTAGCCTAGCATAGTGACGGATGCCTGGAGTCCCAGCTCCTCTGGAGTCCCAGCTCCTCTGGAGCTCCTCTGGTGGGAGAATGGCGTGAACCCGGGAGACGGAGCTTGCAGTGAGCTGAGATCACGCCACTGCACTCCAGCCTGGGTGACAGAGCAAGAGTCCTTAAAAAAAAAGATATTTATTTCTGTCAGTTTTGGAGGCTGGGAAGTCCAAGATCAAGGCAGATTCAGTATCTAGTGAAGGCTCACTTTCTCATAAATGGCACCATCTTACTGGATGACCTCATCACCTCCCAAAGGCCCTACCTACTAATCCCATTACCTTGGGAATTCGAATTTAAACATACGAATTTGGGGGGCGCGGCAGGGAGCAGAAACACTCAGGCCTTGCCAGCCTCATGTGTCTTTCAGGCAAGGCTCATCACTCGTCAGCCATGGTGGATTAATCCATGGGTCAAATAGTCATTTTCTAGTTTGCTGGCCTCCGGATCAGGTCTCTGCACGTGGCTGCTGAAGATCCTCTTACAGGGGGAAGATGGCAACACTGCCGTTTCCTTGCTGTCCCCTGTAGTTTCGTTTTTTGAGCCCTCTTTAAGCTGCTGTTTCTTTGCAGGAATCATTTTAAGCCACTACATTATTGCCAGTGTTTGTTGAGATAAAATGAGGTTACATAATTTGGAGATCAGCCTTGCCAGGCTCGGATGACCCCATGCAACTGCAGCAGTGGACATACCCAGACAAGGGTGGCACCGTGGTGGGCCCCTACACACCGAGGAGGAAATCCCACTTTCCCCTTAGAACATCCGAAACCACGCTTGGCCTCCAAGTGAGGATACACCCCCACTAGCAAAGCCCACAAGAAAGCAGAAACCTCAGGGTTGCATTAGTCATCTTTGAACCTCTTTCCAGTATAACTGCCCTAAGTTTATGTCCCCTGGAAAGCTTTTGGATTGCAAAAACAGAAAGATATATAGGTAGGCATTTTCCCAGAGGGTTATTCTTTATTAACAAAAGGAGAGCTTTATTTAATTTCTGGATCCCTTCTCCCAACCCAGATTTTTCTTACTTTTATCCCATAATATTTATTATACCGTAAGTATAATTTCTCAGCAGCTTTTAGATGTTTTCAGGAATTGTCCTTTCTGGTGTTGATAGTTATATCACACAAGAATATTCAAATTTAGTTGTAGTTCTGACAACTGAAAAAAACGAAAAAGGATCTGTTCCCTTTCCCACCCCAAGTGTGGGGGGGAGGTGTGTGTGTGTGTGTGTCTCGTTCAGAACTTGTGAGAGAGATGCAGCAGTTCTAAGGCTCATTGTCCAGTAGAGATTATCATGACAGTGAGTGCTCACACTGACCCAGCCCCAACTGAGTGACAGGCTCTGTGCTTCCTTGCATTTCATGTGCATTAACTCATTTCGTCTTCACAGTACCCCAGACAGACATGCCATTCTTGCAGTGGAACAAGGAGGCAAGACGTGTAAAACTGGATTTGGTTATGTGTCTCAGAGCCAAGTTTATGCCCACCATGCTGTTCTGAAGGGGTGCTCCCAGGCAGTCATGACCCTGAGGAACGACATAACCCCGAAAGCACTCCTCAAAAACAAATGGAACAAGCCATGTAATTGTAATGTTAAATTTATTTAATTATACTCCTCCTCCCAGAGGTGTGGAGCCTCGTATCTTTAATACGGTAACTTAAACGGGATTGTCCATTTCTCCAACCATTCTTGATAAATAGATGATGTTAAACACTTGAAATATTAGTCTTTTCTATATTTTAATCCTACATAGTAGTATTTTTGTTGTTGTTTTTTAATTAACTGCTTTGACAGATGAATCCTAACTCCATATACTTAGGAAGGAGAAAATTTTGAGTAGTGCAATTTGATATTTGGTCTGTCATTTGAGCATGTGTGTTTGTGTTCACGTGTGCATTTTACTTCCTGGTGATTTACGAGAACTCACTAATGAGAAACAGATGGCCTCTAAAGCCACAAACTAGAGTTTATAATACTCTGTTGTTTATGGAAAAAAATATGAATAATCTCCTCTTCCCTCCTTTCCTTTCTTTTTAGGGAGAAGACATTTTTTTGGACATGTTTGAAGATGAGTACAGGAGCATGACAGTAAGTGAGGGACTGGGAGACACTTGGGCTGGTGTACGCCTGTGTCCCTGCCAAGCTCACCCTGCCCATCCCAAACGGGGTTTTTTGACTTAGGGCTTTCTGACCAAATAGCAGATTGATGGGGAAGCAGATTTAGAGTGGTGTCTTGTGATCCCCAGCACTGTTAATTTCAGATTATGTTCATTCCCTCTAAGATGGGAGGTATCCAATGAGTCAGGACAATTATCTGCTATGAATAGTAATTTGGGGGGCAGTATCATTTTTTTGTGGACTTACTCTGTGCTGGATGTATATAGCATGCTGTACAGATTATAACTCTTCATCCTCACACCAACCAACGGTAATAGCTACTGCCATTGTCCCTTTCTTGCTGAATTAATCTTTTCTCATACTGTTATGCAGAAATACCCAAGACTGGGTAATTTATAAAGAAAAGAGGTTTAATTGACTTACAGTTCCACGTTGCTGGGGAGGCCTCAGGAAACTTACGATCATGGTGGAAGGCACCTCTTCACAGGGTGACAGGAGAGAGAATGAATGCAAGGAGAAAAAATGCCAGACACTTAGAAAACCATCAGATGTCATGAGAACTCACTCACTATCATGAGAACTGTATAAGGAAAACTGCCGCCATGATTCAGTTACCGCCACATGGTTCCGCCCTTGACACATGGGGATTCCCACATGTCTCACCATTCAGGGGGAGATTTGGGTGGGGACACAGAGCCAAACCATATCACTTGCCAATGAGGAAACTGAGTCAGAGAGCTCTAGTGATGTACCCAAGTCTGCCCGGCCGGTGAGTGGCGGAGCCAGGCTTCCGGAAGAGGACAGCCCACCCCCGCATCCCCTGTCCTCCATGTATTATATCCCTGCCTCTCTGTTTGCTGCTCTCCTGGAATGTTCCAGCATGCAGCTCTTCCTCCAGTCTGCAGTGCCAGCACACGGGATTCCTTCCTCCTCCGGCAGGCAGAATCACAGGAAGCCATAGGTTCAGAAGATCCCAGCTTTCGCTGCTTTGTGCATTTGTCTTTGTATCCCGGCACCTGCCCTTGGCTAGGTACTCCATTAAGTACATGATAAATGATCCTTCTTGTGAATATTACCCACCAAAGCGTGTGTGATTTGGGAAGTTTATAATAAACCTAAGTGTTTTAAGTGTCAAAAAGAAAAAGGCAACATGCACTAATTGGCTCCTTGGCTTCACAGCCTGTTCCCCGGGAATCTGGACAGCCGGGCCCTCACCACGTCCTTTGTCACTGTATGTCTGAGGCCTCCATGGAGCCTTTTCAAGGGAAAGGTGTCCGTGGGCTGTGCATCCACAGCCCCTCCCAGCCCCTTCAAGAGTGACTCAGTCTTCCACCGTTCAGACCATTCCTTAGAGTGGAAGGGATTCATTTATCATTTGCCATTTCCTCTTACCGCTGAGACATCCCCCTGCAATGTCATTCCTTACAGTTTGGTTTCCTGTTTGGAAATGTCAGGCTCCTATGGCACTTAACCATGTGAGAGAGCTTGGGCTCTTAAACCCCTGCTCAGTGTCTGTTTTTGACAATGCAGCCTTGAGTGCATTGCTTAAATTCTGATTTTTTTTTTTTTGTTTTTCTTTTTCTTTTTTTGAGACAGAGTCTTGCTCTGTCACCCAGGCTGGAGTGCAGTAGCGGATCTCAGCTCCCTACAACCTCCGCCTCCTGGGTTCAAGCAATTCTCCTGCCTCAGCCTCCCAAGTAGCTGTGATTACAGGCGCCCACTACCACGCCCAACTAATTTTTGTATTTTTAGTAGACGGGATTTCACCATGTTGGCCAGGCTGGTCTTGAACCCCTGACCTCGTGATCCCTCCGCCTCGACCTCCCAAAGTGCTGGGATTACAGGTGTGAGCCACCTCGCCTGGCGATTTTTTTTTTTTTTTTTAATCCATAAGGTAGGGGATCCCTACCTCGGAGCTGCCCAGGCTGTATATGAAATAGCCAACAAGAGGCCTCATGGTCCATACACAACAACAAATGCTCATGGGTCCATACACAACAAATGCTTCCTCCCCCTCCCACCATGGGGAACTTCCGAGGTTTTATTTGTTTGATTGATTGTTTGTTTTAATCAAGCATGTATTGTGTGTCCTGTACAATGCCTGGCATTCCAGAGAAATACAAAGGTGCTACACCCTCTCTCTGTATCTGAAAATCAGTCCTCAGCCTTCAGGAATGCAGCTTCTGAGTGGAAGAGGGTAGGGACAGGCCCTCAGAGGCCGGCCGCTGTACCAAAGTCAGGCCATACTTGTGACCCTTCATTTCCCTTACTGCCTCTGGTTTAATGCAAAAGGTTCAGTGAAGTGATGGCCTAGCTCTGCCCCCAGCAGGCTTGAGGGGTTCATTGGGAAGGTTGTAGGGGGCAGCAGGAGTAGAGGGGAATGGAGCTGCCACCCCTGCTGGGATAGAGGATTTGGAGTGGGGGAACTCGGGCTTCTGGAGGAAAGTACTCAAAGTGTCCAAAAGAAAAAGGCAAGCAGCATGCACCAAGTGGCTCCTTGGCCCCGTGGCCTGTTCACCAGGTGTCTCAGTCTGTTTTCTGCAGCTATAACAGAATACCACAGACTAATTTATAAAGAAAAGAAATTTCTTATAGTTCTGGAGGCCGGGAAGTCCAATATCAAGGTGCCAGTATTTGACGAGGGCCTTCTTGCCACATTACCCATGGTGGAAGGCAGATGGGCCTTCTTGCCACATCATCCCATGGTGGAAGGTGGAAGGGCAAGACACAGAGAAAGAGAGAACAGAACTCGCTCTTAAAACAAACTCACTGTCACCATCATGGAGCCACACCTGCAATAATGACCTTACTCCATTCATGAGACCTAATCCCAGCTTGTTAGACCCTACCTCTCAGCACTGTCACACTGGGGATTAAGTTTCCAATACATGAACTTTTGGGGATGCGTTCAAACCATAGCACCAGGTATCTGGGCCGCTGGGCCGTCACTACATCCCTGCCCTGTGTAGTCAGCTTTACCTAGCAGGAGGGAGAAAGTGGTATGTTTGAAGCCCACTTTCTGAAAAGAGAAGACACAAGGAAAGTTTGTGATGTTTGAAAGAGTAAAATGAGTTCTGCAGAAAGCTTCTCCTTCCTCTGTGAAGCCAGGGAAATGAAGTGTTAGTGTTCAGCAACACGTGTGCATTGATTACTACTACTGATGCAGCAGAGATCTGGGAGAGGTGGCAGGTAGGGGATGTCACCCTGTGTCTTAGTCATCAAAGAAGGCTTCGCAGAGGTAGTGTGGAAAGAGGCAGTCAGCTCTGGCCCAGTGGCCGTGGGCATGTGCCTTTCCTCCTCTGAGCTCAGTGTCCCTTTCATGATGAGCCACCAGCACCTGCCGTCCAGCAGGAGATGACCCCAGCACGTGCCTGGTAGTTAGTAGATGCTCCAAAAATGATTATGTTATATTATCCCAGGTAAGATGTGAAGGAGACAAGGAAGGAAGGGGAAACATTGGTGCTAGGGTGAGAATCACAGAGGCCCTGGAGCAAGACAGGCCTGGGCTCATGTCTTGGTTCTGCCACCCACCAGCTGAGTGACCTTGGATCCATTTTTCTGCTTCTCTGAGACTCTGTTCCCTCATCAGCAAAGTGGGAAGCAGCTCCTCAAAAGCCTTTAGGTCACAGCGTGCCGCGGAATCAGCTCTCGTTAAACAGAAGCTGCCATCGCACAGCTGTTATCATCACTGGAAGGACAGAGAGGAGAAGGCAGGTGGCAGACGGGCTTGCACCCACAGGGGTAAAGCATACCTGGCCTCCTGCTGAGAATCCCTGTCCCTGCTGAGGTGGAGAGGGAATGTGAGGAGGAACGAGCTTTTCGCAGCAAGGATGCAGCTTCTCAAGAGTCTGAGCTGCTGTTTCAATTAAAGGAAAAATCACCAGTTTAGAAAACCAAAAGGCATATTGCTCCCTTATCTGGCTGCCTCTGTGCTTTACTTCAATCTAAATCCAGGGTTTAGATCACTCATTTACATTTACTAAATGCAGGTAAAGGGGAGAGGCCTGTGTAACCTTCCCGGGCCTCTTCTTCCTCCCAAGTAAGGGGCGTGCTTTGAGGTTTCCTGTAATGTCTCTTCTAGATGAAGCCCATGAACGTGGAATATCTCATGATGGATGCCTCCATCCTGCTGCCCCCAACAGGCACACCGCTGACAGGCATTGATTTTGTGAAGCGACTGCCGTGTGGCGATGTGGAGAAGACCCGGCGGGTGAGTGAGCACAGGACCTGTCATCTCCTGGGCCACTGTTCTCCAGAACCACTCCCAGACCAGGGAGGAAAGGGCTTCTTTGTCAAAGTCAAGAGCTTCCCCTCAACACAGCTTAGACGCAGATAGAGAGTTCACACTTGCCCCCAGGCATGACTTTCCAAAGCATGTTGCCCTTTGGAAAGTGGAGTTTGGCATTCCGTTGCATCTGGCACCCAATGTTGGCTGCAGAGAGGTAGCCTTCACCAGTGCAGACAGACTCAAGCCCTGAGCTCAGGAGTGGAAGCCGGTGGGGCCAGGTTTCTGTGAACCGTGGAGGGTGAAGTTGGTGTGAAATCTTAGCTCAGCGGTCTCAGGACCCTCAGACACAGTGCGATGTTAAGGCAATCTACCTGCTCTTGGGCCACAGTCAAATGGAATGTGAATCTCGCCAGCCTGCAGGAGAGATATGCGTGAAAAGATTAGTTCTCAGAACCAGCTGCAGCGTGTGCTTCCGTTATCAGCCCTTTTTTTCCGAAGCAGGCGCTCTAGGAAGCAGTCTCCACAAGGGTGTTCATGGCATTTTATCTCCCGGGTAAGATCAGAGTTTCTTTCTTAGAAAGCACCATCACCTTTTCCCTAGAAAATCATTCCCTGGAGACATGAATATTTGTGGATAGTTTAGAGGAATTCATTGCACGCAGCTCCCCCTGTCAGCCTGTATCGTCTGAGTTTATTCGTGTGTGACAGAGGTGTTTCACTTTTGGATTTTGCAAAGCAGGAATGACCTGTCATTTGCACCTCAGACACGAGGAGTCTGAACCTTCCTCCCCGCAGCTGGTGATTCTACCTCGGAGGCCTGGGGGTGCAGAGGAAGTGGGACCCATGTGTCTTGAGTCAATCCACATTTCCAACTGTCTGACCAAACCCACAAACCTCACCGCAGGACCCACCCGTCCGGGCCGCTGACGTCTTCCTTCCATGTGCTCCCAGCCAGGCGCACGATTCTGTTTGTGGGTGGCAGCGTTTGCACTGGACGTCCTGGCGTCAGCTTTCACTGGAGGACCGGTTCTGACAGATGTGTATGTGTTGCTTCATGATGCTGACATGCTCACCCCCAGCCGGGGCTACAGCATCCTGTGCCAAGAAGGCCCCGCCTGGGAGATCCCTCCTGTCCAGAGGAGTGAACGCTGAGCACTGCTGCTGCTCTGGATTCCACTTTGCCTTTCTTTTTTTCTTTTTTCTTTTTTTTTTTTTTTTTTTTTTTTTTTTTGAGGCTGCAGTGAGCTGTGATCCAGCCCAGCCTAGAGTGCAGTGATGCTATCATAGCTCACTGCAGCCTCGAACTCCTGGTCTCCAGCCATCCTCCCACCTCAGCGTCAGTAGCTGGAACTACATGCATAAGCTACCACACCTAGCTAATTTTCAAATGTTTTGTAGAGATGAAGTCTTGCTAAGTTACCCAAGCTAGTCTTGAACTCCTGGCTTCAAGCCATCCTCCTCCCTTGGCCTCCCAAAGTGCTGGAATTATACACATGTACCACCACACCCGACCCATACTCTACCTTCTTTTGGTTCACAGTTCATCAGGATTTTTCTTACTACTTCTGTGAACATATAGCCTCTGTTATGAAGTAGATCAATTCAAATCCGTTCTTTAGGTGAATTTCCTCATTAAATTCTATAACCATCCTAGGAGGTTGGCACTATTATTATCCCCATTTTACAGAGGAAGAATTTTTTTTTTTTTTTTTGAGACAGGGTCCTGCTCTGTCACCCAGGTTGGAGTGAAGTGGTGCCATCTTGGCTCACTGCAGCACACTCTGCCCCCTGGGTTCAAGAGGTCCTCCTACCTCAGCCTCCTGGGTCGTTGGGATTACAGGTGTGTGCCGCCACACTCACCTAATTTTTGTATTTTTTTGTAGAGGTGGGGTTTTGCCATGTTGCCAAGGCTGGTCTTGAACTCCTGAACTCAAGCGATCCACCCATCTCGGCCTCTCAGAGTGCTGGGATTACAGGCATGAACCACCACGTCCTGCCCACGGAGGAAGGAATTGATGCATGGAGAGGTCCAGTGATTTGCTCAAGGTCACCCAGCTAGTGAGTAGCTGAGCCACGAGTCAGCCCAGGCAATGTGGCCCCCAGAACCTAGACTCTTAGGCATTCTGACCTGCTGCTTCCCACACTGCCTTCTTCAGATCTGCTAGCTCTGCTCAGGACAGTGGGACATCAAAAACAGCCCCAGTCCTGAAGGAATGAGAGCCTGGAGGGCAAAGTGGGAAGAGACAGTGGCAGACCATGTGGCTCAGGCCGTTATTCAAGCAGCATTAGATCAGGTCACTAATCTCACCTGGAGCAGGAAGTGGGACAGGCACCGGATAGGGAGGCACAGGCCCAGAGACAGGTGACACATTCTGGCACTTCCACGGCAGTGATTGCAGCTGGAGCCCACAGTGGGATGTGATGAGGCTGGGGGTGCTGGCAGGAGCCAGATCACGGGGGCCTTGGAGCCCCTTGAGAGCCTTGGCTGTCACCTCTTAACACTGTTTCATGACCTTATGCCCTGCTGGGCTGGGGCAGATGGTCCTGATACACAAGCGAGAGATGGGAGAAATGCAGGGGCGAGTTTGTCAGGCATGTGGTGGAAGGGAGGTTGCGTCCTGTCTATTCTGAGCTACTGTCTCTTCATCTGTCAGGTAAAATGTGCCTGCCTTTCCAGAGTTATTGTGAGGACTCAGCAGCAAGCCAATGGCAGGTCTTGATGATAGTCTTTTTGCCCCTCACATGTCACATAGTTGCAGGTTCCCAGGTCTGTGCTGCCCACCTCCCTTGTCCTGAACAGGATGCACAGCCCAAGTGGCTAGCTGAAGCACAGAGACCTGGAATATCTCAGCTTCCCTAGAGGCTCTTTGCCTGTCTGACCAGTTTCCAAAAACAACTCTTAAGTCCTCCCAGGGTCCCTGGGTAGCAGAATGATATAAAAGAGGCCAGGCTACCTCAAAGCCAAGGCATCCACTTTAGAAAAGCTTCCTTTGTGACTTTAAGAATTTCTTTCTGAAGGGTAGCTTTGGCCACTCGTCTCACTACGGTTCCTGTTGCAAGGGAGCCATCTGGAATCATCCAGAAGTTTAGCTCCTCAAGCTTACTTCAGAAATCAGAACACACCAATGTGCTTTGAATTTGAGCTAAAGGAAGTTACATGGTTTAGCGAGCAATTGAGGGCTTATGTGGTTCGTTTCAAGTTTTTTGCTTGTATCCAAAGAACATTCCAAGCTACCCCTTTGGATTCAAAGGTTTTCTTTCTTTTTTTTTTTTTTCCACCAAGTAGACTTTTTAAAGGAGGCTGATCCTTTTCAGAAACTCCACCCTTTATTTTCCTTAAGGATTTGTCAAGAAAGTTCAAACAATTCTTACTGGCAAATCACTCCTAAATATTCATAGATTCATCAAAGGGCTGCTAGATTCTTGCTATGTGCCAAATACTGTGTTAGCCTGGGGAGTGAAGAAATGAGCGAGCACACGCCCCTGCCTTCTGGACCGCTCTTTTTACCTAGAGAGGTAAAATTTATTAGCAAGTAAGAGAATAGCAGGTTTGGTACCCACCCACAGTCAGAGCTCTGGAGGAAAGAAATAGCATGCCGTAGCCAGGGGCTGAGGAGCGGTCCTCCTGCAGATAGAGTGATCCGAAGAGCTGCTCTGCAGAGGTGATCTGAGCTGAAACCTGGGGGATGAGGAGGAGCCAGGAAGGTTAAAGTGATAAAGGAGGCACTTTCCAAACAGGGAACAGCACACGTCCGGTCCCTGAGATGCCACCAAGTGTGGCATGTTCAAGGAGCCTAGTAAGTGAGGTAGAGGCAGGGGCAGCGACAGGAGAGGATGGTGGCAGCGCTTTGCAGGCTGTTGGGAGGCATCTCACCATAACGCCGTTTTCCCTCTTGCTTTTTTTTTTTTTTTTTGAGATGCATCTCACTGTGTCACCCATGCTAGAGTGCAGTGGCATGATCTCGACTCACTGCAACCTGCACCTCCCAGGTTCAAGTGATTCTCCTGCCTCCGCCTGTAGAGTAGCATGAGCCACCATGCCCAGCTGATTTTTAAAATTTTTTTGTATTTTTAATAGAGACTGAGTGTCCCCAGTCTTTTGGCCAGGGTGGTCCCAAACTCCTGAACTCAGGTGATCCACCCGACTTGGCCTCCCATAGTGCTGGGATTACAGGCATGAGCCACCATGCCCAGCCCCCTCTTGCGTTTTAAAAACCACATAACTTATTCTTTCTTTCAACATAATTGTTGAACATATTCTAGGTATCAGGCTCTGAGTAAGATGCAAGACTAGATGGTGAACAAATAATATAAAATAAGACCAAAACAGCAAGGGTGCCACTGAGCCATGCCAGCTGAGAAGGGAAATTCATGTTGAAATGAAGGTCACTGGAGCTGTTGGGGTCCAGTGAGAACATTCAAGTAGAACTTCAGGCTTAGGCTGGACCCACCCCACAGGTAGGGGGAACTGAGAGAAGCGGTGAAGAAGGAAAACTGTGGTGTCAGACCAACCGTGGGTCAAATCCCAACTCCAGCTGCATGACCTTGAGTGAGTCACTCACCCTCCCGGAGCCTCAGGTCCCTCATGGGTCTTGCCTCTCAACTGTTGCCCAGAGAAGAGCGTGGCTGCGAAGTGACAAGCCCAGGGCCTGGCAGACATTAAGCGCTCAGGAAGCATTGTCTGAACAGAAATGGAGCAGTCTGGTATGTAAGGTGGGAAAGAAATAGGGTCTTTCATGATCTAAATCTACCGAAGCTTAATGCCAGAGAAAAGAGAGTCAGGAACAGGATTTTTTGGTGAATATCAAAATCCAAGTTTAAGCCACTAGCCATCTGTATATAGTCATCTTGGAAGCAGCTATGAAATACCCGTATTTGCACGAGGTTTTATTTGTCCCCAGATTGTTTCCCTGTTCCTTTGTAAAACCACAAGCAGTTTTTGTGTTTATCACTATTGGCCTTGAGGAAATAGAATATTTTGCTTTACTTTTTCGATGTGTATTACACATTCAAGAAAATACAATAGCATCTCCTACAATTTCAAAAGTAAAGGGAAAAGAATTTCCCATGATTTAATCACCCTAAACAAACAGTACTTGGACATCTTTTGTGCTCCTCCTATCTTTGTCTGTAAAGAGAGTGTACCATGGTCTTGCTTTCATCCCTTCTTTTTTTTCTTTTCGTCGTAGCACAAGAAGTTTTCATGTTGCCATAGTTGAAATAAGTCTGATTTCTTATGGCCTCATAAAAGTTTATCTGGCATTTTCTTGCAAGTAGACATTTTGGTTGCTTCCAGTATTACATTATTTTCAACGGCACTATAATGAGCAGCTTCATGAATACAGTGTTTTTCTTTCTCTTGAATTATTTCTTTAGGATAAGTTCCCAGAAGTGGAATTTCTGGTTCAAAGGGTATGAACGTGTTTTTTTCATGACTATCTGCATATTGCCAAATTGCTTTCCCGATGGGTCGTGCCCACATTAAACTGCTTTGGCACTCTTTTAAGAATGACTGACTTTCACAGCTACATGGCCTCAGTGGGCTTCTAACCTGAGTGACTGTCGCCTAAACTAGGCAGCTTGCACATGCAGCAAGGAGGCAGGAGGGTGAAAACCAAGCCTTTGTTCCAGGCCAGCTCCTGGGCTCAGCACATCACCAGTGCCATCCCGCTGTACCTGCATGGTGGGTGCCCCATTTCCAGAGCATAAGCCTGGGCTTGGGCAATTCATGTGATTACCAAGCCCCAGCCTGAGCCACAGTGTGTCCAACTACAGAGCCACCCACCTTCCCCTGCTCATTGGCCTGATTCCCCGGAGACTGAGTTTGTCAGAGTTTGCTTCCAGACTCACTGAAGCAAAGAAACTGGAGACATCTCTTTCTGTTTTATCTTGGTCAGCTGTCATCCTTTTCACAGTCTAGCCTGTTCTTCCTGGGTCCGTCCTTCCTGATATTCTATGGAAGAATCTGAAAGAATAATAATTTCTTTTTCCTTTTTAATAATAGTTTTAAATTTGCATCTTTATTTAGCGAAGAAAAGCACTCAATAAAACCCCGGATCCCAAGCCTTAAATCTTTTGGAGGTCAAGGAGTGTGGTTGCAGGAACACAGAGCTTGGAATCCAGTTATTCACTGAGTGACCTGGGGCAGGCTGCCTGTCATTGCTCGGCTTTGGTTTCCCCATCTGTAAAATAGGAACCACACAGGGTCATTAAAAGGCTTAAATGAGACGACACTGTGCAGCTGGCATAGTACCCGGCAGGCCATGGGGAATCAGAGAGTGGTTATTGGTTTGGGGGTGGTGGGGTGAATTTTATGGCTCCTATGCTCATAGTTTAGCTTTCTTTTGTGAATTCACAGAGTTATGGGGCTGCCCAGTGTGCCTACCAGGCCCTTATAACCGCCCTGCCCCAACGGGAGCCCCGGTTTTGCCTCGAGTGGAGCTCCCTGCCCTGTGGGAATCGCCCCTCCTCACGTTCATGGGCATGGCTTCTCATGTGTCCTTCCTTCTCTCAGGAGTTGGGGCAGGAACGAGGAAAAACATGGAGGGATTTTATTGTACAGTCGTCCCTCGGTATCCATGGGGAATTGGTTCTAGGACTCCCTCAAGGATACCAAAATCCACAGATGCTCAAGTCCCTTATATAAACAGCATAGTGTTTGCATATAACCTATACACATTCTCCTGTAGACTTTAAATCGTTTCTAGATTACTTGTAATACAGAGTACAATGTAAATGCTATGTAAATAGTTTGTTATACTGTATTGATTAGGGAATAATAAGGAAAAAAATCTGTACAAGTTGAGTACAGATGCAACTTTTTTTTTTTTTTTTAGTATTTTTGATCTACAGTTGGTTGAATCCACAGATATGGAACCCGTGGATACAGAGAGCCTACTGTGTGTGTTTTATATTCTATTTTTATGTTTATGATGACGATTGTTATCCATGTGTTGTTTGCAGGGCAAAAGCAGATATTGGCCTATATTGGAAGCCAAATTCTGAACTTTTAAAGTATTTATTGGAAGGTTACAGTTTTTCAGAGTGATGGGCTGCAGAAAGCCACATGTTTCTGTTTTCTCAGCCAACCCGCTCTGGTCCTGCGTGAGTTATTTGCCTTCAGAACCCTGAGAGAAGCGGGGGTTTGGGCACAGAAATGAGCGTCTCCTTGACTTGGACCTGGCTATCATGGGCCTTTTCCTTTCCTCATCCTCGTGGTCATGACTCCGTGGTCATGACTCCTTATCTGAGAGCTCAAGCTGCCAAATATTTCAAGTGACCACCCACGTCTTGGGCTTTCTGTACTTGGGCTGCCATGGATGTTTAAGTTTCCTGGTGCACTTGGTTAAGTGACACGTGTCATACCTTCCTGAGTTCACACCCAGCTCAGCCACTTAGCAGATATGTGAGCTGAAATAACTCTGCCCCTCTCAGCTCTATTTCTTCCTCCATAAACTCTTCAAGTTACAATAAGGTTCCCATAGTTCTTGCCACCCCATAGTTGCTTAATAGAAGTTCTTTTGAATTTTTTAATGGAACTACACTTCTTTTTCTTCTGATTGTTACAGATGTCTTTACGAAGACTGTAGTTTTAAAAACTGTTAACAGTCAGATACGAATGCTACCACCGCCACCATCATCATTGTAACATAAGAGCTGATCTTTCTCCAGTGGTTTATAGTTTACAGAGGACTGCGCTGCCTTAGCATAGGGCCAGGAGATAGGATTGCTCTTCCAGTTTCAACATTAGGAAATTGTTCCAAGGTCTCCCACTGGTTAGGGCCCAAGGCAGCACTGGGTGTAAGCAGGCAGGCTGACTAGCTCCTCGTTGCCTGGGGTATGAGGAGGCAGTGTGAGTGCACCTCTTTTCAGACAGTAATTTGGCCCCTTTCCAGTTTTGGGCAGCACACTGCTGTATAGAGGCCACCTCCCCTCACCTAGGTCCACACTGCAGCCCTCCGAGCCATGAACAAGAAGACCCAAAGGTGCACTGGGATTCACCTTTGCAGCTCCGTAGTGGTGACAGCGGTTTGTCCCCGCCACCCTACTATGCTGGCTGGTTTCCCTCCTGCATTATCTCAGAACCTCCTAGCAGGCCTGCGAGCTATCATGCCCATTTTACAGATGAGGAACAGGAAGCTCACAGAAGTCAGGGGATTGGACTTGCCCAACCTAGTGCAGCTGGGAATCCGATGTAGACCTCGTGTGTCTGACTCTGGAACTGTCCCCATGGGGCACTGCACCCTCAGTCAGGCCCAGCAGCTGTGCATCACGGGGAGAGGCCTGCAGGTGGCCCCTTCTGCGGACTGCCCCTCTGCTTCCTGGCTCTGGTTGGTGGGCAAGCCTGTTTTGGGGCTGGAGGCTGCTTTCTGCACACACTCCTCCGGCTGCTGGTACTCTGCTTTGTTTCTGCTCTTTGAAAGTACCTGATGGCGACACAATTCTGACCAGACACCACTTCCATGGGCCAGGAATCCCTGTGCTGGTGGATCGTCTCTGCCCCTGTTCTGCTGGCTGGGAAAGCCTGAGGGGTATTCACGGAACCAAGGTCACTGCAGCACACTCACTGTTGTAAGACTAAGGGACCCGGAGTTGAAGAGACTCACCCGGGGGTAGGATTTTCCTCCGGTCTCAGGCCCTGCAGCCCACAGGCATTTCATTTCACCCTCTTCTGTCTGCCCCACCCCCATATTCAGTAGGTAGAACCTTGAAATGCTTTTGGAGTGATTGGGTTTTCCAGAGCCCATGCTGGTTTGGTTGGGACAGACTTAGGGTCTAGCCCTTGCTGGAAGCATGGCCTGGGGCAGGTCACTTCACCTTCTTAGGTCTCAGTTGCCTGGTGTGTGAAATGGGGCTGACTGCTGGGCAGGGCTATTATGAAGGTCACCTGATACTTGGGGACAAAGTCCTGGCAGATGACAGGTGCTCAGTTCAGGTAAAGTAACCCAAACCTGAACCTGTGGATAACTGAAAACAGGTTACTCCGCCTTTGAATTTTTTTTTGTTTGTTTTGTTATAAAAGGAAGTACCAGGATCACAACACCCAAAGAGGTGGGCTTTATCGTGCTTCTTTCTTTTTTTTTTTAATAGAGAGTCGTTGTGTCATTTCTTGATGTGGGGCATCTCGCTAAAATGACTCTGCAGTCTCACTCTTCTCTGCTCTCTGAACTGTTGGTCCAGGCCATCCGGGTATTCTTCATGCTGCGTTCTCTGTCACTGCAATTGCGAGGGGAGCCAGAGACACAGTTGCCGCTGACCCGGGAGGAGGACCTGATCAAGACTGATGATGTCCTGGATCTGAGTGAGTTGGCTGCTCTGAGTCACAGCAGGGGGCTGGGGTACATGGGACACGGGACACCACTCTGCTGATTCACATGCCACTGGGAGGGTCAGTGTGCAACCTGCATTTTGTACTGTGAGCTGTGACCTTGAGCCAGCGGTGTGCATGTCCCATGCAGGTTTTGAAGAAAAGGCCCCTGGGTTCTCTGAGGTCAGTTTGAGGGTTCTGCTTTCACAACCAGCTGGTTCTCTAAAAAGTATCTGCAGAGCAACTGGGGGCTCAAGCAAGGGTGAACAAACTCCAGGGTTGCTGGCCTCCCTATAAACATAGTGGCATCAGTTTGGTTGGTTTTATGTATTAAGCATTTTCTGTATGATTCCAATGATAAAAGTGTTCTGCTGCTAAAGAAAGAAACTTGTAAAAAGCAAATCACCTGTGTTTAGGTAAGGATGAAGGTTTTGGAGGCTGGAGAACCATGTGCTCAGCCCGTAACCTTGAGCTACTTGTTCTGCTGTGTAGTGCCTCATTGTTCTCATCTGCAGCGTGAGGCTGAGCTTTCAAGGAGACAATGGGCATAAAGCCTGACCATGTTCCTGGAACCCCTCTCGTATTTGTATAGCTTTCTCTTTCCTCCATTTGCTACAGGGCAGAGGCACTCCAATGAGCAGCATGGTTTTCTGTTTCTTAAGGGCATTGTGGTATATTAGGAGTCTTTGGTTATGAGAGACAGAAAATCCAACTTAAGGTGGCTTCAGGAAAAGAGAGGGAAATTGACTGATGTCACTGGGAAGTCCAGGAGTAAGCTACCTTCAGGCATGGCTGGATCCAGGTGCTCAGACAGTGTCCTCAGGAAGCTGCCCTCGTCCATCTCTCAACTCTGCTTTCCTCTGTTCATCCTCAGGAGGGCTCTCCCAGGTAGTGGCAAGATGGCCATCAGCAGCCCCAAGATTTGTTCAGCCAATCTGATGGAAAGAGAGCTTCTCTTTCCCTTTAATTCTCTAAAAGTCTGGGTAGAGCTGTTATTAGCCTAGCTTGGGCCACGTGACCATCCCTGAACCAGCCAGTGGTCAGAGGAATGTGACTCACTGATTGTCTAAGCTGGGGTTACATGCCCAGCCCTGGACCTGGGAGGGAGGGCCAGTTATTTTTGAACCCCATCACCTGAGAGAGGGAAGAGGCGGCCCTCAAAGGAAAATCACCAAAGAAGGGATGGTGGCTGGGTGGGCAGAAACAGCACAGGACCACTCTCTGTAGCATTGTTGTTGCTGTTTTAAATCAGCTTTATTAAGGTATAATTTACATACAAAAAAATTCCCCAAGTGTTAGTGTATAATTCAATGAGTTTTGACAAAACTATAGAGTTGTGATCTAGACCCTGCTTTGTATTCCCTTCAACAAATGACTAGACCCCCACAGCCTCCATTTCCTCTCCTGTAAAATGAGACGGTCTTTCTTAAAGTACAGAATTGTTTTCAGGATTGAATGAAATAGAATACGAAATACCACATGACCAAGCATAGTGCCTACCGTGTAACTGTACTCAGCAAACTGTAGTCAGTATTGCAGGAGGTCATGCGTGTGAGGAGCATAGCATGCTGCCTGACACGTAGAGGTTCTCAGTGAATGCGTATTGTGTGTTACCTGGTTGTCTAGTGTCTTTTTCTGGCCTTCTTGTTTACGTTTTATCTTTCCCTTTCTTGGAAGAATAAAGCAGCTGTGATGCCTCTCTGCCCGCTGCCCATCTCCTTTGGCCCTTTCGCCCTTGCGAAATGACCGCAGGGATTTCTCTAAGGGTTTAAATTGATCAAGTTGACTGCAAAGAATCATAACCAGTCTTTCTCTGATTTGATTCAAGGAGAGAAAGAGCTTGCTTTGGGTGAGGTGTGGGGGTGGGGAGGGAGCACTTCATCAGGGCAGCAAAAATGTTTGCACCCGTGAAATGGAATTAAATTTTATGCTGGGAATTCACATTCCTTCCCTCCTCCCCCTAGGAATGGCCTGCTGGAGTAAAGGTTAAAAGTTTTTCACTTACCAATTTTAATGGATTAGATTGCTAGTTGAGATCACTTAACTGAGCCTTTTTGGGTAGTTGGCCATTAAGAAAGTAATGGCTGTTTGTCTTTGCCCAGCCTGATTGCAAATTATGTCTTTTGCTAAGAGGGGTGACATTCAGAAAATACTAGGGATTATGGAAGCACATGGTGCTAGAATAAGATATGCCTGTGTTGTTGGTTTGTTTGTTTTTGGTTTTTTGTTTTGTTTTGTTTTGAGGGAGGGATTGTAAATGCTGGAGCTTCTCCTCACCTTCCTTTGAGGGGGAAAATCACCCTACTCTGCAATCTGACCAAATGCCTTCTGTGTATACAAAATGCAGGTGAAGGACAGGTGAAGCCATTCTTGCTTGCTGCATGGCTGGAAGCTGGGCATGTTTTTGTCTCCCTGATGAACTTGAGAAAGCTGACTCAGGGAGAAATGTTAGGGACTGCTCACTGTTTACCTGACTCAATGTGGTCTGGTAGGCTTAAAGGAGTGCTGTCTCCACACAGCAGGAAGAAGTGGCATAAAGCATATTCACTGCCCTTGTCACACTTCAGTGAGAAATGACAGCATGAAGGTTATTCCCCAGAAGCCACCACAAGTGCTTGCTGACCAGCAGCAGGTCTCTCGGCTGGGTGTGACAGCCGAGCTCTGGCATAAAAGGTGGCTGCTCATGGGGACCATCAAAGAAGTGGCCACCACTCAGGAAAGAGGCAAACTGGTCACACTTCAAGTGAAGTCCGTTTTGTTTTTCACTAGAGAGGAAAGTGGCAGAGGGCAGAGGTCAGGAACTGGCAGCCACATGTGCCACATCTGCTGGAGTGATGGGGGGCTGGGGTGGGAAGGAAGAGAGAGAGGGAGGAAGGGAGGGAGGGAAGTGGAAGGAAGTTGAAGGGAGGGAGAGATTGGAGGAAGAAAGGGGAAGGGAGGGAAGGGAAGAGGGGAGGAACTAGAAAAAAGAGTCGATTTCTAGAGAAAATAGCATCATGAATCTCCATACACCCAGCCCTCAGCTTCAACAGCTTTTACCATTTAGCTAAGTTTTGTTTTATCTGCCCTTCCATCTGTCTATTTAAAATATACCATCCACCCACACAGTGTGTTAAAGCAAATGGAAGACTTCATATTATTACATCTAGAAATACCTCTCTCTAACAGAGAAGTACTTTGTATTGTTCCTTTTAATAGAATTGGTTGCCACCATTTGCAAACCGAGTGCTTCCCCAGCCCCAGCTGCTGCTTTGGGCTGGAGGCCAGGGTGCAGGGGCCTATAGACAGGACCTGTGCTCACCCGTGTGTTGCCGCCCTGTCTTGTGTGTGACATTTGATTTTGCAGCCGCTGGCATTATTGGAGTAATCAGCTTTGTAATCTTCCCCAGAGTCTTCATGCCTGTGAGGCTCAGTAGCCTTACCTTTGAAATGGTTCTAGGGCTGAATGTGGTGACTCACACCTGTAATCTCAACACTTTGGGAGGCTGAGGTGGGAAGATCACTTGAGCTTAGGAGTTCAAGACCAGCCAGAGCAACATAGCGAGACCTTGTCTCTACTAAAATCCAAAAAAAAAATTAGCCAGTCCTGGTGGCAGATACCTGTAGTTCCAGATACTTGAGGGGCTGAGGTGGGAGGATCTCTTGAACCTGGGAGGTCGAGGCTGCAGTGAACCCTGATCGTGCCACTGCACTCCAGTCTGGGCGATAGAGTGAGAACCCTCTTTCAAAAAAATAAAACCAAAACGAAAACATGGTTCTAAAAGACTTTCCACGGAGCTCAAATGAGATAATGTGTAAAGCTCACAGCGCCATGCTTGGCACTTAGTAGGTACTCAGTGAGTGGGAGCTGGCTACTTCGCTGCTGCAGCTGCTGAACACACAAGCTGAAACTCATCCTGCTGGGCTCCACAGGGCTGGCATTTTCTGCTTAAGCAACACTGTGAGAACAGTATCCTGAGACATTCAGGTCATCGCTCGGATGATGGCACTGTTTTGAGAGTTAAGAAAGATGGCTCTGGCTGCTTTGGCCGGAGGAAGGGAGCTGTATCCCTTCTAGGCTGTGAGACTCACTCACTCACTCCAGTGTGCCTCCTAACCAAGGACAAGCAAGCTTTGAGGAGAAACCACAGATTCCTTGGGATTGACCTCAGGGCCTCCTTAAAAGATTCTTGCCTGTTTCCAAATATCATGAGCAACCATAGTCGGGGAGAAATCTGTCCATTATCCATACACCCCAAAGAGACACCTGGCAGCCAGGCGTGTTCAGTGTCCAGTTTCCTTTCAGCCTATTCATGTGGGCACCTGACATTCACATAGTTGCAGCCATAGCATGTGGTGCTTGTATCTAACTTGTATTCTGATTTCTAAAATCCGTTTGTGAAGCCCATTCAATGAAGACCCACTCATGCATTCAGCTATTTATTGAGCACCTGCTGTATGCCAGGCACAGTGCTAGGAGCTGAGATGTGAGAGTGATCTAAAGCCAGACTTCGCTTCTGTTCTTGAGGTGTTTCCAGTTGGGGGAGGGGAGGATGGCGGGAGCGACCACTAACAGGTAAGTTAAGTAAATGCATGATCACAGACTGATTGGGATGGCTCTGTAGAGGTGACAAGCAGGGTCCATGCTAGAGAGTAACCAGGAAGAAAATCCTCACGGGCTGGTTAGGAAAGGCCTCTCTGAAGAGGTGCTGTGCCAGGAGGGATCAGAAGCTTCTACGAGAAAGCACGGAAATGAGGACTGCCTTTTAAGGATGGCAGAGGTGAGGCTGAGGTGAGAGAGAGCATGCCATGTTCCAGGGTCCTCACCGAAACTGGGGTGGCCGGCACACAAGTAGCAAGAGCGGGTCAGTGGCTGGGAAGAGCCAGATCTCAACTCCAGGGCTTTCTCACAGGGACATCTGTCTTAAACGGACACTTCTACAGCTGGCACTGCCAGATCAGATGGTCCCAGCAGGGGCCTTCCAGTTGCACCGGGGGCTAGAAAGGCCATGCAG